CTATATTAGCAAACTGAAAAATAGTAACACAAGGTATGAGATTATTGTTTGAAGGAAAAAAACAAAAATGGCCCTTCGTATAGGATTGTAGTTAACTACAACACAAAAATCCAGAAATATAAAATAGTGATTCATCCAAATTGCTATATTGTATACACTAATTAAATAAATAAATAATAATAAATGTGAAATTAATCAAACTTCTGTTTTATACATAAAGAAAGCATTTTGACAAAATATTTAAGCAAATTCAAATACTCGAAGCTCATCCTGAATTCCTAGTTGCGTAGACCTTTAGTTCACCAAATATCTCTCTTGATCTTTATAATGACACTCTATGTATTCGGAAAAAAAAAAAAAAAATCATTGTGTTACTCTTCATTTAACTATAAATATTATTTTATTTTGAGATATAGTTGTTTTGATGGATTATTATTTGGTGAATATATTGCACTTTTTTTTAAAAGGAAAATATTGGTAAAATGGTTTATGGAAATTTTTGTTAAATCAATATTCTTAATTTACTCCCACTTTTAATGCGCTTATCAAGCCAAAATTTAAAGATATTAAATCAATGACGAGATAAAGTTATAGGAAAAAAAAAAATTCGAAAGGCTTTCTGAAAAAAGATAAAATACGAATTTATATAAATTCTATTAACAAAACACGATTTTTTAAATTTTTTTTAAAAATACTAGAATTCTTAAGTGATTTTAAAAAATCGTATATTTTTTTTCAAAAATCGTATTTTAAGCATAGATATGCTAACTGGTAGGGGTGGCAATGGACCTGGACCCAACACGGGTCCGGGTATGAGTCCAACATTTGGACCCGAAGGGTCGGGTCTGAGTCCAAAACCTGGACTCGAACACTATCTGGGTTTGGATCCGATTGGACCTGATTTGTACCCGTAAAATGTTGGAGATAAAATACTTCAAGCCCTATTCATTTGGGTGTATTAAGGATTATATACAATAATAATTTGTGGTCATCTTTAGTTATTACACGACAAATCAGACTGCTTGAAATCTAATTATGAGTGATTTTGACCTTGTTGCCAATAATATGGATATATGATGGTAAAAAAAAAGGGAAATTATCATAAATATACCTTTATTTTTGCTTAATTAAAAATGAAACCCCTCAACTTTCATAAATCTCATCCACATTTTTTTGGCTTTTTTTACTAAAATTGTTTCCATAGTAGTTGTATTATTGTGAAGCCCTAAGTACCGTAATGACTACCCCATTTTATACGGTATTTTGAATGTTGTGATAACTCGACGTATTTTAAATGCCAAAACTGAAAAAAAAGGGTGTGGACGAGGTTTATGAAAGCTGAGATTTTTTTTTCCCCCCCTAATATGTAAAAAATTAAGGTATATTTATGATAATTTCTCGAAAAAAAAAAGCTCATAATGCGAGTGGCAATGGACCCGACCAAACCCAGGACCCGATGGGATAGACTTGGTACCCAACAGGTCGGGTATGGGTCCAACTTTTGGACCCCTCCAGGTCCAACACCTAGACCTAAATACTATTCACTTATGGGTTTAGGTCCAGCCAGACCCGACTCGTGTCTGATTCGTTGCGACCCCTACGAACTAGCCCTTGAACCATTAGAAAAGTGGAGATTCTTTGCACCAATGGTTTAAAAAATAGATTGTTGGCCCGGATCGGGTAACCCATAAACCCATTCGGATCGGTCGATCGGCAATCCGGATTGAGAATCGGCCGAATCGGTTGGATTAAGGTGTAAAAAAAATATAAAAAAATTATTAAAATTTATTATAAATGTTGTTTTTTTGAAATCCAATAAGAAATCGGGGTTTAATTTTCATTTTTTCATCAATATATGAATATTGAGATATTTTTTCTCTGTATGAACTTATTTTAACAATTAAATTACATCACATAAAATAAAAATCATAGAACTATCATGGATGAAATATATAATCATACATGGACCACAATAAACAATGATTTTTTTATAAGAGCATTTTAGTTTTTTTGAAAAAAACCTTTTATTTTTTTACAAGAAATGTTTGTCGTATTACATTTTTTTTTTGTTTTTAGCAAGAACCATTTTTTTGACAAAAAATACTTGTTGTATTATTTTTTTTTATAAGAACATTTTTTTTTGACAATAACTTTTTAATAATTTTTACTTTTTTTGACAAAAACCTTTATTTTTTTTGACAAAAAAAAGAAATTTGACAAGAAAAATAATTGATAAGAACCTTTCATATTTTTTTATAAGAAATTTTTTATTTTATTGATAAGAAAAAAATTTGACAAAAAGCAAAATTGATAAAAAAAACCTTTCATTTTTTTGATAAGAAAAAAATTTGACAAAAAGCGAAATTGATAAAAAGCCCTTTCATTTTTTTCTTATGACAAAAATACTTGTTGTATTATTAATTTTTTATAAGAACTTTTTTTTTTTGACAATAACTTTCTATTACTTTTTTTTTTTTGACAAAATTTTTTTATTTTTTTGACAAAAAAAATAAATTTGACAAGAAAAATAATTGATAAGAACCTTTCATTTTTTTTTATAAGAAAATTTTTATTTTATTGATAAGAAAAAAATTTGACAAAATGCGAAATTGATAAAAAAACCTTTCATTTTTTCGATGATAAAAAAATTTGATAAAAAGCGAAATTGATAAAAAAAAACCTTTCATTTTTTTTATAAGAAAAAAATTTGACCTCAAAAAAATAAAATTGACAAGAAAAAAAATAAAATTGACAAGAAAAATAGTTGATCAAAGAACCCCCTTTTCGTCCGAAGGAGAATGGAACCCACGCCCTCCACATACAAAAAGATAATTACAACCAATAAGCCACATGATACTTAATAATATTAAAAGCGCAAAAAAAAAAAAATATATTAATTTTTCAAGTTAATACCTTCACATTATCCCACTTCAAAGCGGTAGAAAGAAATTGCAGTGAATAAATACCTCTTTGTAGTTATTGAGTATAAGACGTGCAAAGTGAGGAGAGTCACGTGTTGAGCTGTGCGGACTTTAAGATACATGTATTTTTTAAAATTTACAAAAATACCCAATAAATTTCCAGTATTGAAACCATATTTCTCAATACTATTTAAAGGTGGCTTTACAAAAATACCCATTAAATTTCCAGTATTAAAACCATATTTCTCGATACTATTTAAAGGTGGCTTTACTTTAATTGTTTAGAGCCTCTTCTTTATAGAAGCCGCACCCTTATTATAATGTTCAAGATACATTACTTTATTATGATATGGGCAAAACCAAGTCAAAAGTCCGACAAAAAATCACCCAATCAATTTACATTGCATTACTTTATTGTGGGCCATAACAAATTTAAAAGTTGCCGGAAGGTAGGGAAATTCAAAGAAAGACAAAGCTTATATAAAGTGAAGTGGTAAACCTTCAAATTAAAACGAACCACCAAAATTCACCGTAAGAGGTTGCTTTGATGCTGAAAGATTCTTCATCTCGACCTCAATTTATATAGATACAAGAAAAAATAAATTTTAACTATTGAAAATAGTACATCTTGTTATGCATTATTTAGGTCAGCAATATTTATGATTTTCAAGTGTTCATAAATGTGTTCGATCTATATTATTTTTTAATTTTTAAATTTAGAATTAGAGATGAAAATGAATTTTTAGGCCATAAAAAAGATTTATAATACTGAAATAATATATTTCGACACTATTTAAGGATGCAACTTACTTTAATTGTTTAGGATCACAGCTTTATACAAATTGCATCCATTTAGTTTGGGGAAAGGTTTATATACTTCCGCTACAACATAAAAGATCTATGCTTCCCTTACCATCCATCCGTCTAATTATGATCAAGAGAGCCACTCACCGTTTGATCTTAGATCTGATGTCTCAAAGTATTTTATTTTTATACAAATTGTATGAATATGAAATTTCATATGTACTATCTTCTCATTTGGGAGCACCTATAAAAAAGATATTAAGAATAATTTTTTGACAAAATATAATGACCAAAATACCTCTTGAAATTTTAAAGGTATTTCGATTATTTTATTTTATTGAAAATATTTTTTCAATATTTTTTGCTAGTGCAAGTTTAATAGAGGATTGAACATCCAAAATTTGGTATCAAAATAGTTTATAAAAAAAAATTAAAAATAAAATAGTGTAAAGACGTGATATTGTAATCGAGACAAGCTTAACCTTCCGTTCAGAATTGACTGTTGGATATAGGGAAGTATATAAATTTTATGCCGTAGAAAAAGCATACAAAACTTGCCCTTTAGTTTCTCCTTTGAAGAAGATATACATGCCTCCATTATACGGAAGTTAAATCAGGAGAGAAAAAATAGAAAAGAAAACAAGAACGAGATATATGTCATGATATGCGTGATACAGCAGGGAATGAGACAAGGATACGGATTTGGTGAGTCAGCCGACTCAGTTATTACCGTGTCGTCCCTTGTCTATCTAACCTTCATCTCTAGGGTGGATGTCAAAAAATGTTGCATCCTTAAAATGGAAGGTGAAGAAATGAATTTAAAAAGTAAAATTTATATTTTTTAAAAAAAGAAATTTCCAAATTTAGATCATTATCATGGTTGAGATTAATGAACTCTAAAATTTTAAATTGAAAATACATCTTTGAAATATATTTATTGAGACCACACAAAAATAATATGAGTTAGCCTATTCACCAAACATTTTTCCATGAGATGAGGACAATAAAGCACGGGCCTTGCTGGTCTTCTGACTAAAGTGGCACATTTTGAATCTTTGTTGAAAGGTACATTGCATTATTTTAGATGTGGGACACAACCAATTTGAAAGTTTGCCAAAAGGGAGGAGAAAAAACAAAGAATCACAGGTGGAAAGATAAAATAATTCATGGGAACTGTTTGCTCTTTTTCCAAACTGTATAGAAGTCGTTATTTGATGGGTACTATCATCAATTTAAAAGTTGGACAAAAGTAGAAGAGATTCAAGGAGTCACAGCTGTAAAGCCAAAATAATTCATGGTAAAGTTCCCAGCTCTTGCAAGTGGCCATGAAGTTATCTTTTCTTTTGACAGTATGTGGCCATGAACTCTTCATGACATCTTTGAAATACCAGAATTCACAGGAGGCCATTAGATGATTTCAAGCTAACTCTTTGTTGGAGGTAGAGAAGGATGGCTGAGGCTGTGGTAAAGTCCCTGTTAGGAAAAATGGGTGAGCTACTTCAAAAGGAAGGTCCACTACTCTCAGTTGTCCACATGATGATGTTCGATGGATCAAAACCGAGCTCGAAATGACGAACAATTTCCTCAATTTTGGAGGTCATGTTCGATGGATCAAAACCGAGCTTGAAATGAACGAACAATTTCCTCAATTTTGAAGGTAAATTAAGAGAGAGATATCAAATAGTGGATGCTTTCATTGAGCAAGTGAGAGAGTGGACCTATGATACTGAAGATATTCTTGATGAATTCATTGTTCAGATGGGGAGTATGAATCAAACGAGTGGATCCATGGGCTACCTTTTATCTCCAGGCCGCGCTGTCAAGGAAGTGTATATTCGCCACCAATTTGCAACAAACATGCACAATATCAAAGCAAGCGGCAGTGGTATTATAGAGAAGAGGGACCAGTTCATGCTTCAATGGAAAGAAGAAGCAAGCTCCTCAAATGCCACGGCAACTGCTGTATATTCACGATCACTTTCCTCTTTGGTTGAGGGAGCATATGTCATTGGAATTGAGTGCAAAGTGAAAAGAGTAGAAGGGTTGTTGCTGGAAGGTGAGCCACAACTGATGTTAATTTCGATCGTTGGCATGGGCGGCTTGGGGAAACTTACCCTTGCACATACAATTTATAGTAGGCGTAGTGTTAAGGAACATTTTCGTTGCCGTGCTTGGGTTATAGTGTCACAGTCATTCACACCAGAGCGGATTTTAAGCTCCATACTAGTAGAATTTCAGGGTGCTCATGTACTAGAGCGTGTAATGGATGTGCGAGCTCTGCGACGAGAGCTGCATGGGTACTTGGAAGGTAAGACTTTTCTTGTGGTGTTGGATGATGTATGGAGCGAATGGGTGTGGGCAGAAGTGTGCACTTCATATCCCGATGCTGGAAATGCGAGTCGGTTCATCATTACAGCTCGTAATGAAGGGGCTTTACCTTCACCAAAACACATCAAGACTGAAGTGTATACCCTTGAATTCCTTTCGGAAAAGGATGCATGGTCCCTCTTTTGCAAGAATGTATTTGGGAAGGAAGCATGTCCACCAGAACTAGTGGATGCAGCGTGTCTCATAGTTAAGAAATGTGGTGGTCTACCACTGGCAATTGTGGATATTGGGAGAATGATGTCTAAGAAGAAACCATATGAGTGGGCAACAGTTCGCTATTCTCTAGAGTGGGAATTGAGCAATCGATCCCAATTTTATTTGGTGGGGGGCGAAGTGGTTAGGGGTGTTTTGTTACTATCTTATGAGGATTTGCCGGCTTTCCTAAAACATTGTTTCTTGCATTGTTGCTTATACCCAAAGGACTATTTGATTTTCCGTTCGAAATTGGTTAGGCAATAGATAGGTGAGATTTTTATAGGAGGAAGACAAGGAATGTTAGATGAGGAGGTAGCTGAGGAATACTTTAAAGACTTGCTTGATAGGAATTTGATTCTTGTGGGGGGAGGGGGGGGAATTGGTAGGAGTGAGCATGTCGAGTGCACATTGTAGTTCGTGCACTTGGCATTGATTTATCACACAAAAAGAAGTTTGGAGTATTTTATTATGACCAAAATGAAGAACCTAACCCGAGGAGTCGGCGTGTCTCCATGAACCGCAATTCTACATTGATCCATAGACATAGAGAAATGTCTTGTCTCCGGACATTCTTCACGTTCGGCATGGATAGAGAAGCAGAAACAGAAACAGAATCGGGAACCGATTCAGTTATGCCTGGATTTTTGTGTAGCTCAAGATTCATGCGTTGTCTCAAAACCCTCCTTGAGTGCTTCATACATATAGAACTAGAAACAGGGTGGGTACCTTACTCTTAGCTATGCCTGGCTTTTTGTGTAGCTCAAGATTTTTGAGGGTCTTGGACCTTCACGGCATGAGGCTTAAGCGCATGCCAGAAGTTGGGCACCTCGTTCTTGTCAGATACTTTACAATAGAGGGTTCATCCTGGGATGATGTCGTAGAGGTCCCAGAATCTATCGCGAACTTAACATGTCTACAAACCCTACACTTGAATAGCATGAAAGGAAGTTTGCCGAGTGGGATCTCAAATCTGGTTAGTTTGAAGTGTTTGAAATTATCTTACTGGAATTCTTCTGGGGTGACAGGTTTAAATGCTCCAGAAAGGATTGGAGGCTTGACTAAACTCCAACTTTGAAATATGTTGCTGTTGATTCAAACTTTGTTAAATACCTAACCCACTTGATGCAGCTTCGTTTGCTAAAGATTGAGTTAATGAGTGACAAAGATGGGGAGGCATTGTGCTCCTCTATCCAAAAAATGAAATTTCTGCATTCCCTCAGCATAACCACCTCTGAGGGTACTTTACCGATGAGGGAATTATTATCGCCTTCCCAAATGATAACTCTTCATAAACTGCGTCTGTGGGGGAGATTGGAGGGGCTACCAAGTTGGTTTAATTCTTCCCTCTCATCCCTCACCGTGGTAGAATTGGGCAATTCCTTTCTGAGGAGGGATCCATTTCGTACCTTTCAAAAATTGCCCGAACTTACGCATCTGGATATAAACACCAGAGCATACTCGGGTGAGCAAATAGGAGAATGGTGCATCGGGGTATCCTAAGCTTCAATTTCTCCATTTGACTCGATTATATGAATTGAGAGAGTGGAGAGAAGTGAAGAAGGGCGCTATGCCCTGCTTGAGGGAAGACTGCAAAAATCTGAGCGCATTGCCGGAAGGCTTCCAGAACCTGTGTTCCCTTCAGACCTTGCGAGTTCGTTGCATGTCAGATGAGTTTATGGATGGGCTGAGGCATGAAGACCGTTACAAAGTGCAGCATATCCCTGTTGTTCAATATGATTAGCGCTATAATGAAAACTGAATGCCTTTAGGGAGGTTATTCATGTGCAGCATAATATTCATGTTTCCTAGATTTACTCCCATCTTTCTCTTGATTGTTTCCCATGTGTTTTGCCCATTAAACTCTCTTCATTTGCTACTTTTTTTCGTTGTTCTTTATTTTGGAGAATGGGGATTTTCATTATAAATGTTGTAGATGGGAGGTGGTTTTAGCCTTTTATGTGTTGGGGAAAAGAAAAAACAATAAGAAAAATCCCTTGTTCTTTCATTGTTTGTTGTGGGTCCCTATGATAAGATAATAAAGAGACTTCCCCCATGTTTGTTTCTTTATTTTTCTTAGCATACATTACTGGTTTGCTCTCTCTCTCTATAGAAAAGTTTTCTCTTGTTACTTGAAATGGTTTGCTGATGCCTCTTGTTCTTTACACAACAGGGGTAGTGTTTGCTGTGGATTAACTTGTTGTGGCGCCGATCGAAATTCTCAACAGATATGCACTCATAATATGTGTGTGGATATTGTTATTTGATATTGAGGAGAAAATCTAGGTAAGTATGTTTCTCTTTCACAGTAACAAATATAACAAATAGAGCAGTTTTAAAGCATCTCTGTCTGGTTTATAAGCTCATGAATGTTATTTGCAGTCTTGAGATGAACATATTTTAGGTTGATCTTATGCATCAATATAATAATCATTAGGTCGTAAATGGAATTTCCATATTGTATTGTTTTATTTTGTATCGAATTGTGCATGTTAACACTAACATCTATTCTATGTCCACCCAGCTCTGTTCCTAAGGGGGATGTATTCTATGTCCACGCAGCTCTCTTTCCGTATGTCCCTAAGTGGGTCCTGTAAGAGACTGTTTGTGGGGGATCTGGGAGCAGGCGCTCTCGATTCCTTGGAAGGATTTTTGTATTGCTTTGCATGATGTCCTTGCATGCTTTAAACAGTTGATAATAATAAGTAACAGTAGGACGTATTTGGATGTAATAAAAAAATATACAGGGACTTATAGTCTTACTGAGGATATCCCTTAGTAGAGCAAAATGACAGACGAGAAATCATGTGCTCGACCTCAATTAGTTAGAAAAAAGCTCTGTTGATCAGTAGAAGAACCTTTAAAATTAAATGTACCCAATAGTACTTTCTAGACATAGACACAGAGTCATATTTCCATTGTGATATTGTAAGTTTGCTTGCACATAAATCGTCAGCAGAAGGAAAAGTAGAGTTTCTTTGCATGCATATTTCTTAATATTCTTCTTAGTCAATGCTTTCAGATAAGATATGTTACTAGAACGCGTGATTAAAGTGTTCGCTGTCTCATTAACTGCAGCTTATGAATGGATTGGGTCGTGGTGGTAGCACCCCCCCACCTAATCACCGCATTGTGGTTTCCATTGTCACTTATAACATCTCACTAATACCTTTAAAAAACTAACTCCTAAGCTATTTGATAAAATCAGTAAGGGCACGTCTTCTCCACTCAATTACCCAAAAAGAAAAAAAGCTTATGCATGGACTCGGTGGTTTGGCCAGGGGTTCTCTGTGGAGGTACACTACCTTGGATATCCATAGTCATTGATCAAAGTCGGTGAATGATTGAATTTTGGCTAGTCAGCTTTTTTCCAATTTTAGTTCGACTGGCTAAACAAAGTTGATGGAAAAAATTTTGTCGTTGTTTTTATTTTTTCCTGTATTTTTTTTCAAAATATTATCCAAATAGTTAGATCCACAATTAGCGAATCGGGGAATAACAATATATGCACTCACCACAATATCAGAAGTAAATCAGTTTTGGTCCAAAAAGTCGGATGCAAAAATTCAGGAAAAAATACAAATTGGCAAAAATATTGTAAATAATATTATGAATATAGCAGATTGGATCAAGAAACCGGATTGAAAAAATTGCAAATATAAAATTTCATTTTTAAAAAAATAATAATAATATGCATTAGCCATCAATAACTAATGCATCCATGAAAATTTTATAGAAGTAAATTAAATTAATTAATTCAAATATCTCATCCCATAATCTAGAGTTACTAGATCCAAATTGAAATACAAGAAATGCAATACTAAAAATGTTAGTGTCAACATAACTAATAGAAAGGTTAAGAGCCGGGAGGATATATTTACAATGTAATGGTATTCTTTGTTTATGGCATGCTCTTCCATTGTGTTGGTGTTTTCTAAGTAATATTTTTTTGGGATTGTATACAATGAGATTATTTACATTTGATACAAGGCGGTCACAATTTCTTACAATCATTTGACGTGAAATTTGAAAACTTGGATGTGTCACAAAGTTTGATAATTTTTTTTAAAAGTTTGAGATTGGTCAATGGAATAATTGCAACCACCCAACTTCACATCCAATGGTCGAGATTATTGTGACCACAGTGTATAAAGGTGAATGGTCTCATTTTATATATATATATATATATATATTTATTTATTTATTTATTTATTTTTTTTAAGGGAATGTGTTTTTCTTGGAGACTATGTTTTGGATTAATTTTTTTTGAAAAACATGATTTTCTTGGAAGTTAGAACACTTACCTTGAAGCATCAAAAATGCCTTTTTTGGTTAGTTGTAGTATTTTTTTACCAAAATTTACTAATAATCCAAACTATTGAACATTGATTCAATTCTACTTAATAAGTTTAATGTTTATCATATATTAATCTTAAAAAGATTTAGTAAATTATCACGTTAATCGTTTTCTAAAAGTACCAATGGGATAAAGATAGACAATTCCAAAAACTTTGAATTTGGATGTCAAAAAGCAAGAAAGCTTTTCGAAAAGTTTTTTTCATAAAAAAGTAAAAATAAATGGAATAAGATAGAAAGCTCCAAAAAATTCAATTTTTGGATACACAAAAAAGTAGGAAAGGTTTTTAAACCGTTTTTTCCCTTAAAAAGTAAAAAAATAAAAAGGACAAGGATAGTAAGTTCAAAAAAATTCGATTTTGGAAGTAAAAAATACGAAAGTTTTGTGAAATGTTTTTTTTTCAAAAAGTCAAAATAGAAGTGAGAAACCTATACAAACTTCCAAATGTTTGAATTTAAATGCAATACATATAGGAAAGTTTTAGTGGAAATTTTTATTTTTTGTCAAAATGTCAAAATAAAGTGATGTTAACGCTTTTATGAAAAAATCACCTCTTTTTTTTTTTTTCCAATATTGAGAATCCTATACAAAGTTCCAAATATTTGAATTTAAATGCAATTAGTATAGGAAAGTTTTTATGGAAAGTAATTTTTTTCCAAAATGTCAAAATAAAGTGATTTTAATGCTTTTTTAAAAAATCACTTTTTTTTTTCTGATATTTTAAAAATACAGCAGTTAAATTGTTGTAGAAAAAAAGGAAGATAGTATGGAAAAGTACCTGATGATTTTTTCTCAATGGAAAAAAAGGGACCTGATAAATTTTTCTGAATGGTGTACATGCCTTCCATATATAATTGTACCCGTGTCATGTAACAAGGTGCAACAATTCTTTCCTCTTGCCACGATCCTTTAGTAAGCATTTAATGCTCACTGCTAAAGTAATATATATAGTCTTCTTCATCGAATTTGCCTACGAAAATGAAATTAAGTCTTAGGTCTAGAACATGTCCCATCTCTTTGAGAACCAATTTGCAGTCAACATTGGTCTCCACAAATATTGCATATTCCCACAATTTTTGAAGAGCCATTATTTCCCATCCTTATGATGCGAAAGTCTCATGACTTGTAAGATGTAAAAATGGTCTTTTCGTGGGGTAGCATAGTAGGAAACACCAATATCAATAACCCAGTTTGTATATGGACATGCAACACATAGACAAGCCTTTTCACAAGCTAAAAAAGCAATAATATCACTCTCAGTGGTAACTACAGTAGTCTCATTGTTTTTTTATTTTATCTTTTTTTTACTTTTTCCTTATGTTTTTTTTTCTCAAACTTCTATTATTCTCGTTTCATATGTTCTGACTTGCCACAATGGTAGCAATTTATTGCCTTTCGATTTGTACCGACCTCTTGATCTTTCACGATTGCGAAGGTTCATGTTTGTACTTCTCCCTTAGTTTTTGTTATAAGAGCATGTGATTGAGATGAATCTTGTTCTCATTGAATAAATTACTTGTAACTTGATTCATTATTACTATTCCATCTGGTGCAGAGTCACTAAGAGACGCCACCAATATCTCCTAGATTTAAGGTAACGAGCTCAGGAGCAATAAGGACTGACTCATCATCCAACACCATCTTTATAGAAAAGAGTCAATTTACTATGATTTTCATCTCATTTAAATAATCTGTAATTGATGCATCTTATTTGAACCTCAAATTATCTAGCTTTTGGATCAAGAAATCTTTGTTGCTGGCTGTCTTTCGTTCATACAACCCTTCCAATTTTTTTCATAAAGAATGTGTTGAAGTTTCATTCGACATGTGGTGAAACATATTTGCTGTGCACGGAAGCTTTAAACCCGATAGGTTGGTCAAAAAAAAAAAATGAAGTCCATAACCAAGACTCTGATACCACTTGTTGGGAAGCAGTGCCTTCCCGTCTATATGTAAATAAAAAAAAATACCAAACCTCCAAGAAATAAAAATATAAAAATTTGCAGAAAATAAAAAACAAACCAAATACCAAGATTTACGTAGAAAAACCTTCAAAGAAGGGAAAAACCACATGGCACCACAGATGAAATCCAGTATGTAGAAAAATAATTGCAATAGTTCTTCCCAAATTAACTGATTATAATTTGAGGATTATGAACAAGAAATAATAAGGAAAAATAGGGGTCACCTCTATGGAACTATTTCATCATCCTCTCCTTAAAAGAATATATTCTTTCCAAGTTTCATTGGAGAACTTCAATTTAAATCATTTAAAAAGCTCCAAACCTTTTGTGATTTTATAAGAAACCCTTTGTAATTTTTTGCATATAAAAAAACCACGAGAGAGAAATAAATGATTTTAACCCCTCCTTATAATTTTTTTGGTTCACCCCTCTCATATCTTTTTAAAAAATGAGAAAGACTTTTCTTATTTGTTACTTAATTGTTATATTTTTTCCGCTTCACAAAAACACCTTTTTAAATAGAGAAAATATCTCTATATCTTCTATTTTTAAGTTTTATTTCTTGATAAACCCAATGTTTCAAAAGATATCTTCCGACCCCCTGGTCGCTTTAAACCTATTTTTTAATATAAACAAATGTGAAAAAGGCAAGTTCTTTCTAAACCCAATTCTTTTTCTCTCTTCACTTATATACCCCAAACTTCTCTCTTTTTCTCTCTCTTCATGCGTCTCTCACTCTCTTTCTCTTCTCATGTTTCTCCAAACACCTCTTTCTCTCCTCCCGGTAACCGCTCACCTTCATGAATCCCTTTTCTCTCTCTAGAAGTTTGGGAGGTTGACTTTTAGAAAATCTATGCTATTTTAGGTTTGTTTGTCCTAAACAAACAAGTTTAAATTAGCTAAGGGGTTTAGAAGAAATAAAATCTACAATTTTTATGCCCCAAGATATCTTTTAAAAGCTTAGTCTATTGTGAAATGAAACCTAAAAATGGATGGTATGAAGATATCTTTCCTTTTAAATATTCTTTTCCCAAAAAAAAAAATCCCCAAACCTCATGGGCCGAGAAATCCACGGATTTTTTGAAAAGTCCTAATAGTATTTTGGCTTCTTGCCATTATTGTTGAGAGCTCTCACCTTTTCCTTTTCAATTTTCTCCCTTTGCTAATACCATTGTGTCATTTTTCTCGAGGAGGAAACTCTGGTATCCATCAATCCATGTAGTCTACATATTCTGCCTGCTTTATTTGTAACCATATCATAGAATGGAATAGTATCCACCGATATCATCTAAGTTTTGAACACTATGCCAGTATCTCCTCAACCATCTGATGTCAATAATGAATGGTTGAGAAGCTGCTAGCAAACTGTTTGAAAGCCAAATTCTATCATAGTATACATTCCCTTATGAGATTAATTTGTGAGGGATTTATTCTAGGACGAAGTTTCTATAGTGCCTAGGCTTTATGAAAACCAAATAAAGACTCACCTCAAATCCTTGTCTGGAAGGTGCTTTCGGCAAAGGAAATTTTTCATGGTAGTTCTCAAATCAATTTCCAACACCGGCAATAAAATTTGAAAACTAAAAAAATGTACAGATCTTATGGATCTTTGAACACTTATTTTTAAGGAGAAATAGGCGGTCTAGATAATTTGCTAAAATACACACTTTCTTTATAGTTTTTTTTATGCAACCATATTGTTCAAGTTGAGATGCTCGATGTAAAGGCTTTCCAACGCTTGAATTACAATTTTCGATGAGTTATTAGGTGAGGCTTTTATTCATTAGGAAAGCCCACTATACTAAATGATCATTGTTATATAGTCCATGTAGTTATCGTGTCTGTTCTCAATGACAGTGCAGATAAATAGTTACCTCACCGTCGCTGGAGATAGGGTTCATCCCCATTGTCCCCAACTGTGAACTAATGGCACCCTTCAATGATGAATTGATAATTCTCAATTCCCTTATGATATCCCATTAAAAATTTGCACGAAGATTCTATTATAAAAAGTACAAAATATCGCAAGGGTATGCATCAGAGAAATAGCTCATCCTCTGATTCATATTAGTGCTCCAAAACAGCACAAAAATCCTTAGTTATAATACCTCTTGGTATTTGAACGTACCAATAATTCTTTCGAAAGTGTATCACTTGACCACAAAAGCAGTTGACTTTCTAATATCTTATTCTAAAACTCACTAAAACAGTAAAATAAAAGAAATGGGGCAGCAAATAGATCTAGCTTTGATACTAATGAAAATTGGAAAACGTGACCTAGTACGGTATATATAGTTTTTAATTTTTCTTTTTCTCATCGATTAAAACACTTACAAAGGTCCAATTACAATAACACTTACTTTAAATAAATAATGATTCAAAAGAAAGTACTAAAACTGTATCCTTTAGCTTCCTAAACCTTATCCCATCAAATATTAAAGATATACAAAATATTAGATATTGACCTCTCTCTTGTATAAATCTCTTTATTTATACATATCTTTTTGAATATTCGAACTTCTTATATTTATCAAAAGTTTCCATAATGGATATATTTTGAATATCCAAAACTTCTTATATGTTAAAAGTTTACATAATACATATCTTGTTAATTAGCTTGGTTAACAAGATATTGACAATAGGAAAAATATATACCAACTAAGAGTGGCATAATATTCATGAGGCTCCCAAGTGGGCTCCACACGCATACCATATGTGGTCCTATGGTGGGACGCTATCGGCCCCCATATTGTACATGATTTATTAAATATTTGAATTTTAAAATATAGGAAATAACTTTTATTTCTCTCTGAATATTTAAATATTAAAAAAATAAGATCTCTTAATTTATTTATCCTTTTTGCAAAAATAAAATATCCAGACTCAAAAAAATTCAAATAATCAATTTTAAAATTATTAAACATTACGAAAGTTGAAGAGGGCTTTTTGCTGCTGCGAACCTTGCCAATAGTTTGACCTTGCAAAGCCTTATGGATTAGAACCAGCCCTTATTTTAAATGGTCGGTTCAAATTTTTTTATTATTTATTTATTTTTTTTTCTCGTTAAAGGAGATTGTGCTCGTAAAACAACCCCATTTTTTTTGGTAAGTTATTTAATTTATTTTTTGGCAAAAGATGTATACTCCCGCAAGTGTATAATGTATATTTACACCCTTGGTAAACCCAATATAAGAGTAACTCTAGGCCCCTATATTTTGGGGGATATAGCCCCTTCAACTCCATAGACCAATCCAAGTGAAAAAAATTTCCTAAATTGAACTCTCTATGTACTTGGAAAAAAATAATGTATCAAGATTGAAACCAATGTTTAAAGGGCTAGATCTAGTTCAAAAGACTCAAAATATAAATTTTTCTTTTGAAAATAATCATCTAGTGATTCTTAGATGATTCCCAGAATTTCAGACCGTAAAATTCTCCATGTAGGTCTCGTGAGCAAGGGAGTAGATGCACAGTATACGCTCCAGTGGGAGTATAAAATTCATGCTAGTTATTCTTTTTTTAGTTTTCATTTTTCCTGGATCTTCGTGTTTGGTGGGGGCAACTTCATAACCAACCGCCTTCCTTCCTAGCAAAAATGAAGGGCTCTAAACCCAACTTCCACACTCCTACACTCACTCTCACCCTCAGACCCACCCCTAAAAATAGGACATTCCGAACGAAATGCGTCTCAAAAAGAGTGGTGGGCAACCCAAATTTAATTCAAAACAAAACCCCACCTCTCCCCTTCCCCTGTTTCCAATCGCATTGGTGTGGGGGATCAGCTCAATAAAACAAAGAAGAAGAAGAAGAAGCCACAAAGGGGTAAAAGCCCCACCCCACCCCACCCCACCCTACCATGGCTTCTGCCCTCTCTCTCTCCCTAGCCTTGCTCTCCGCCACCCTCTTCCTCGCAAGTGCCCCGGCGACAGATGCCTCCCGCCCATCCCGTGGACTGGGATCCGTCTGTCGCCACACCGACTACCCCACCCTCTGCCAGTCTGCATTGGGAAGGCGCCAACATGTTGACCCCATATCGGCCACCGCAGCCTCGGTCAAAGCCCTCATGGCCAAGACTGCACAGGCTCGGGCATATGCTCAGAGGTTGATCACGTCCGGGAGAGTGTACGGGATGGGCAAAGGAAACTTGAAGGTGTGCAAGGAAAACTACTCTGATGCGTTGGCTAACTTGGCCACTTCGCTGAAGAATTTACATTCCCGGGCTCATGCTGACCTCTTGAGCAACCTCAGCGCCGTGGGGACAGATATCGACACGTGCGACGATGGGTATAAAGAGACACCAGGATTGCGGTCGCCCATGGTGAATTACCAGAAAAACCTCAGCAAGATGGCCAGCAACTGCCTTGCATTGGCAACCGCCGTGAAGAAAGGTCATTGATTCGTCGCAATGCCGGAGATTAGTGAGGTTGAGGTTGTGGTTAATGGTTGTGTGTTGAGTTCATTTCAAATTCTTGGGCTTTAGAGGTCTCTTGTTCTTTCCTGGTTTGTTTCCCTGCATCTCTGCTCTTTCCTTCTTCTTTTTTTGTTATTTTTTATTTATTTTTTTTAAAGGGGGGTGGGGGGTTTGGGATTTTTACGAGTGCCTTGTGGAGAGGGTTTGGCAAATTACAGTCATGGTTTAAGTATTTACTTATTCCTAGGCAGTATGTCATAAGAGAGGGCATGTGTTTCCCGTAACACAAGGTAGAATTCAAGAGTTGAGAGTGAGAGGGACTTCTTTCTTTCTGAAAATAAAAGAAAACGGTTTTTAATGATGGAAAGTCCTTTGTCTATGATGAAATATTATGCTTAAAAGGCTGGAGAGCCGATAAATAAATCTAGGTGCTTGTTTATATGATTTCCTATTTTTGGGATTTATTTGTTTTTCTTTTTGGGTGAGACAATGGGAAAGGGCTGCTATTCTCGATAGGAATTGAGTTTTGGACGAAATATTGTAAATCGTCAAGCGCTAACCAATTAAGCGTAGCTCTTTTCTTAAAGATTTATTTGTTAACACATGTTGTTTTTTGCCCACATTCCGACCCGAATGGATACTACCCACCATGAATTCTTATATTTTCATCCACAATCTTTTTCAAGGCAAATCAAACAGCAATACTATGGGAGGCAATGGGTCGGGTCGGGTCCGGGTCGACTTGACCAGACCTGCACCGAACCCGGTTTAGGTCCAAGTGTAGAACCCAACAAAAACTTTTTTAATATATATATATATATATATATATGTGGGTGCAGTTTACGAATGCATCCGTAGGTGTAGAGGTAAGGTGCACCTCCAAATTTTATCGTGGTATATAATTTTGATGTAAAATGTTCTTAGGATTATATCAAAATGTATTTTTATATCTAATTATAAAAGTTTAAATTTTGAAAATGGTTAAAATCAAATAGATCTATAAACATATGAAAATCTTGAAAATGGACGATGTAGATAATATGTTGTAAAATACACTATTTCTAAGACTTAAAGTCTTTTTATTTTTCATGGTCATACATCTTGATGTCGAGATGATCAATCAAAGGGTTTTTCAAAATTAAAACTACCTTTTCCGATGGATTTTTGAAGTGCATCCGTAGTTCTACATTATTAGGTTGCATCCTTATATAAACTTTTTCATATATATATCTACATATCAGAAAATATTTATACCATATGTGTGTGTATGTATATATATAAAGGGAAAGGTTTCTATACTTCCCCTACAATATAGAAGATTTATGCTACCCCTACCATCCAGTTGTCTCATTGGGATGCTCCTATAAAAAATATTGAAAATAATTTTTAGATAAAATATAATGACCAAAATACCCTTTGAATCTTTGAAGGGTATTTTGGTTATTTTGTTTTATTAGAAATATTTTTTTATATTTTTCGCTAGTGCTAGTTTAATAGAGGATTGGATGTCCAAAATTGGGTGTAAAAATAGTTTATAAAAAAAATTGAAAATAAAATAGTGTAAAGACGTGACATTGTGATTGGGACAATCTTTGCCCTCCATTTAAAATGGACTATTGGATAAGGGGAACTATATAAATTTTATGCTATTGGGGAAGCATAAAAAGCTTGCCTATATATAAATATATATGTGTATGTGTGTGTATAGATATGTTTAGGTTGATCCGGATCAGTCAACCTGGAGCCAAGCCCAATTTGGGATTTTGGAACCTGACCCAACCCACCAGGGCGTCCAAACGACCCGACCCAATTGCCCCCTTTAATTTGGCATTGCAGGGAGAGAGAGAGAGAGAGGGAGGGGGGGGGTAGGGGGGGGGGGGGTTGGGTTGGGTTGGGGGGGAGGAGGGAGAGTAGTAGGAGGAACGGACGTAGTAACGTTAAACTAAAAACAAAGTAGACGTACCTCAACCTACTAAACTTCTT